TATCTATCTATCTATCTATCTATCTATCTATCTATCTATCTATCTATCTATCTATCTATCTATCTATCTATCTATCTATCTATCTATCTTGTCTTCTTAAGACAATTATTTCTGAACAGACAAATGCTGAATTAGCTAAAGTTATGAATTACTTATGTTAATTTGGTGACAAAGTAGTAGAAAATTAGTTAAAATGGCCAATCCCACCAAAACGTAAAGAAGCAACAACAAAAAAATTATGAATAGTTGTTACCTAATAGCAGAAACTCTTAAGAAAAGATTTGAATTTGACGTTGCAGCCCATGTTTTCCTGCTGTGAACTATTGAACATCTCTTGTATTCATGCAGTCACGGTCACATTTGGCAGAACCTACATATTTGATTGAGTACTAAAATAAAAAATATAAAACCTCTTGATAAAAATCAAATATTATTTATACAAAAATGTCATTGCTGAGGAAATATCTGACATGGTCAATACGATCATTATTATTCATGTATGTAAATGGAAAAATCAAAACCCTTTCCGTGATTAATCGACAAACTCAAAATCTGTATCCTTCCTTAATTCTGTCAGCTGACAGTTATGGAGAAATACAAAAAAAATGTAGAGAAATGTCACAATGTCTGGTGTTTTGACTCAAAAAAATGCAAAAGTTAACATGATGCAAAGAATTGTTTCATTGCTGAAGTGGGTCTCTCTCTGCTTATTGTTAAATTTAAATTCTCAAATTCATATTTAATATGTTTTTGTAATTTTGAAGATTGGGTTGATATGCTTCTACTGGTTTACTGTAAATGCCTTTACATTTATTGGGTTTGCTTCCCTTGCCTTGCTAAAGTTGATTTGATTTCCTGTATATAATTATTTGATATCTGTTTTTTGTAAGAATAAAAAGTTGGGGTTCACATTTGAACATTTATTTAGTGTTCTGATGAATAAAGCTTTAAAAAATTGGGTGAGAAAGTTTGTTTTCCTCTATTTCCGGGTCTGTAACGTCACGTCAACAAACCCACGTGACCTCGTGAAGCGGAAGTAATCAGAAAGAGGAGGAATCATGCGAAAACGATCAGCGTAACTTGTCGAAGTTAATCCGTCCTTCTGCGCCATGTCCCACAGGGAGGCCCGGGTGTGTTTGAGGCTGCTGCTTTTCCTCCATGTCGCTTCTCAGTGTGGGACAGACGGACTGCAGCGGTGGCCTGTTCCCTACAGGTATGCAGACTGACAGATCACCATCACCGGATCATCCTGCTGTCAGTCATATGACTGCGGCCAGAATCGCTTCTTTGTTTTGCATTCACTTAAACCGGCTATGGAGGAGCCAAAATTAAGGAACAGAATAACAAAAAAGTAATAGTTATAATGGTTTTGTATGACTTTTAACTAATCAAAATCTTAAACTTTCATTTAATTTTATTAGATCACACCATAGTCATGAGTTAGAATGGCCTAGTCAAAGTCCATACTTTATTATATCTGAGGATCTGTGTTGAAGTCTGGAGTTAACTCTGGTTTATTTGGAATAATCTGCTTGTAGGGATTTTTGGTATTGCTTCGATATCAAGTAAATACAGGGTTATTAACGATTATACAGGCAGTTTTTTTTATATATTTAAGCTTTTTGTTTACCTTTTGGTGTTTTAGGGATTTTTTAATTGCAATTGCAACATGGATGTTAAACAATACAAAGCTTCAAAGAAATGTCAAACAAAACCTTAAAACAATCAAAACAAAAAGTAGCACACCTATACATGTTGCTTGTTTGACTTCAGCAAAGGGCTGTGACTCAGACAGGGAGACTTTAGGGAATCTTCTGCTGTAGCAGGAGAGAAAAATAAGGATTGATCTTTTTCCACTAGTGTCATTTAAATCAGTTTAAGCTTCATCATAATCAGCTGTTCTAAAGCAGGGAAACCCTGAAACCTGAGGGACGGCGGCCCTCGAGGACNGTTTAGCTATGCTGCGGTTGTTTACACTACGCCTTTTCCACCTAAAATGGCGTCTTAGCAACAAAAGTCACGTGACTGGCGGAGACCGATAGACTGAAACAATCTGCTGAATAAACATACAGTCTACAGATGTAGAGAACATACTGAATTTAAGGAGGATTTAAGGGATGAAGTGAAAGTAATTGTGGATAAGAACATCTGGTTGTGACTACACTTAGATTTTGAGTAAATAACGAAACGAAAGACACTGCTTATTCTGATAAGAACACTGACTGCACTCTCTGTGTTTTGGAGGATTCCGGAGGAATGGATTGCTGAACTGTGATGAGAACACTCCATGAGAACCACCACGTGGATTCAGCATCTATCTGCCATCGGACAGCATGGAGACCAAAGCGGCTGTGGAGGAGGCCATAGGAGACTCTGATTGATTAATTAGATTGATGAGTGATAGAGACACTGAAAGAATTCATCAGCGACAGTGATGTTCATCATTTGCTTTTAACTCAGACCAGGATAATTCTTGATTCTACCTAATTGTGATTTATATGTTTTGAATTATTTTGATTTTGTTTTAATGAAAATCATGGAAACATTTTGCTCCAGACCCACCAAGATCAAGTTTTATGCCACTTTTTCTTTGATGTAGAAAAACTCAGAACCTGATTGGCTTAACGGTTCTTTAAGTAGTTGGTAATGATAATAGTCAGATTCAAAACAGGTTTTCTTGCTCAGATTGGCTGAGAGTGGGATTTCCCTGGGGTCACCCCGGTTTTTACTACCTTTTAGAGAAGGTAGGGTTTTCCGGTGGAGAACGGCCCGACCTGTCCTGTGATGTCCCCTACTGTGACTGAATGATTGGTAAATTTGGATGGATGGTTTATCCATGGTGAGCGGTCACATTTAGGAGGCCTCCAGGTGGGAGTGAGAGTAGATAAATTTGGCCTTATTAGATTTATTGGCTTAGGTACTTAGTCTAAGGTAAATTAAAATAATGTGCACATAGAAAACTAAAATAGCCTTCCTTTAATTAGATGAAATCTAAATTGTAGCTAAATGCTGAAACTGTGGTCTTGAGTAATAACATTTGGTCTGTGAAGTTTTTGATTGTGATTACTTTTGATCTCTGTTTAATGACACATCATCAATTATAGATGCTCTCTGAGTCACCTGGTGATTCAAAGATGAGTCGCTCACTGTGTTTTAAGTTACCTGTTAAAACGGTAACTTATCAGGGGGAGTTGTTAGGTTTATTCTTTATACATCATGTGCATTGTTAGTTTGTTAGCCAGTTTAGACAGAGTAGAAGGCTGGACGCTCGCTGACGTTTTTTGAGCCCACAGCTGTGCCAACTCTAAGCAATTTCTTTGCCCTGTAACAACCTGACCTGGAATAAACCCTGTTACTTTTTACTCCTGTTTTATAGTCCTTTTTTATATGGTTTTACCCACTTTGAACTGAATTTGAAATGTTTTATCTTAAATAACTGCATTTGATTCACACAGCAACAGTCACTTAATCAACTTGTCCATTGTGTTTTCCTCACAAAAAATGCACTTAAAGGGGAAC